GAAGATAATTTTAGTATTCTATTATTATAAAGCAAAGTATACTGAATAAAAAGAACAAACATTTTAAATGATTTTATTAAGCCAAATAACTTATGACAAATTTGTTTTAGAAATCTCAGATTTTCAGCCCAATTTTAAGTGATTTTCCAATTGAAGCAGATGTCAGCATTATATTTTCGATGGCTAGTATTGTCGTATAAGCTAAAAGATTTTTTTAAGTAAAAAAGAATTAATCTTGGAGAAAATATCACTTTATTATCTCTTTTTAACATGTAAACACCTAATGACACATGGAATAATTAACTTTCTTGGCTAAAATTTAATTGGAACACTTATTTTAATTTTGGACTACTTTATTTGCTATTTGTCTTTTTAAAATCCTTACTATTATCTTCAACCACTGATTAGAGTTTAAATAATTCTTTATGCTTGAGTACAGTCCGCAAATTTTACCATATAACAAAGCTTAAGTTCTGGTTAGAGCTGCTATTTATTATACTGTGAGTTAGGTCAAATTCAGTGAAAGATTTGTATGGCTAATCTGGGTTGATATCATAGAAAGAACCGCAAGTGAGACAGTGAACCCTGCCTTCAGTGGAAGATTCTGCATCCCTTTCATATCTGTTAATTGTATAGTCATCAGCACAGTTGCCCAATCTGGAAACCTCAGCATTCTTCACGACTTGTCCTCATTTGCATCTATTCCTTGGTTTTTAAACTGGGATAAATAGACTCCTGTGTACCTAAACTCTTCCTGTAATTCCCATTCAGCTCTCGGTTTCATCTTCCTTCTAAAACCGGCTACTTCTGCTTCCCTGATGGCCTTTCTTTCCCTTTATCAAAGAGTATCTTCTCACCCATCCCAGCCCACCACGGTTATCATGAGCTGTATACACTTCCAGGTAATCAGCAAAAGCCTGGGTCCATTTACTGCTCCCACGAAAACCTTTGAGTCTAGTAATGACAGCTGTCTACTGGGAACACATGGGCTAATCTGGGGAGCTAAGAAGCCACTTTCATCCACATTATGAAGACACATTTCCACTAAGAGTTTAGTTTTGTTTTTAATAATTTTGTCCAATTTTGATATTTGTTACTTTGATCAATTATGTGCCAACAGCCATTGTAATGATGATTCAATTCAGAAGAAATTCTTAAATGTTTTAAAACCCTTTTTGTTTTGGGAAATTTCAAATTAAATTGAAATTAGTATACATCCTTATGCTATGGAATATGATAAAGTAATAAATAAAAGTGACAAGGTAACAATATATAGACTATATTATATAGTAATACTATCCCCATCCATGGTTTATTTTCCACAGTTACATTTGCCTATAGTCAATTACAGCCTAAAAAGATTAAATAAAAAATTCAAGAAATAACAAATTTATAAATTTTAAAGTACAGGGGATAATTTTAAAGTCACCTGTCTAAATCTCAAAGTGCTTGTGTTCGGTATACTTAACAATGGGAGCAAAGCAAGAGAATAGTAATACTAACAGTTTTATTACAGTGTGTTTTATAACTGTTGTTTTTGCTGTTGTTAATCTTTTATTGTGCATAATTTATAAATTAAACTCTATCATAGGTATATTTGTGTAGGAAGAAGCATACTATATATAGGAATTGGTACTATCTGAGGTTTCAGATCCATGGGGGTCTTGGAATATATCCCCACAGATAAGGGGAGATTTCTGAATTAGGGTGAAATTCTTAATATTCAGGGAAGTGCTAGTTAAAAGAGAAGACTACCTGATGTGAAATTTCCAATAAGGGTAGAATAATTTGTACATATATCTTTAAAACCGAGTAAGGAATCAAGTTGTCTTATCCCATTCAACCATTTTAAAGAATGATATAAACTCTATTTTAAAAAGTATCAATGTTTTCAATAAGCCAAATATTGCATTCTTAAGTATTTAAATTGATGAAGTAAAGAAATCTTGTTTCAATTTCAAAATGTGCAAAGAGGTTTTAAAAAACAAAGAGACGAAATAGTTTAACAAAACATTTATAGGATAGTCAAAAAAGGATGGCAACTATTAACATGAGATTTCAGCTCTGAGCAAATACGTAAAATATCTTTCGCCTGTCTTTTACCTTTTTACTTCAGTATTATAGAGCCTGCAATTGCTTTCCTCTCAAATACCAAACAATGCATGTCCGAAGTTTAATCAGTGACCACCTGGGACATAGAGCTTTGTAAATTTCTAGCTGAACCTAAGCGACAGAACCTTCATAATCCGGAGTGATAGTAGATGACTGGACTGTGAGGGACACACTCTACTCTTTCTGTCTTCGCTGATTCCTGTCTTTGCTGTTGATCTAACATGAGAGAGGATGCAGTGACCAAAAGGCTGATATTCCTCTTTGGATGCAAAAATACATAGTTCAGAAGTCAATGATATCTAATACTGCTATGTCGTGCAGATTTCTGTTCTTGAATTTTTCATGCCCTCCATTACAAGGAGCTTGTGGACATTAGGCTAGAAGTGTATAATAGGAACCTTTGCCATGGGCCAACAAACTTCAGACTCCCCTTGTCATTAAAGGTGCAGAACAGAACAGCAAGATAACACAGTGAGAGACTCTTTGTTGTGTTAACCTGACCATTAGCATTTACCAGGAAAGCTGCACTTCCCTGGATGCTTGAGATGCAAAATGCAGTAGGAGTTCACCTCACATCTCTCCTGCCTTTGAGGAGTTTACTTCCTAGTTTTGAATTTAAAATTTATATTATAATACAGTGTATTATGTGGCTTTTATTCATTTAAGTACTATTTAATGACACACTGAAATATGCCCTGTACCCATCATTAAATGAAGGCAGCAGGTTAATATATATATATATATATATATATATATATATATATTAGTTATCTATTACATATATAATATATATGACAGCCTCATTTCTATAACTAAAATTTACACATATTTGCACGTAAATAAAACTGAAAGTGATAACAATGGGCCTGTTTCATTTCAGTTAAATTGTGGAATCGTAGAATTTTCTTTTTCTTCATTTGTGACTTTCAGCAATGAAGATCCCTTTGGTAATGAAAAAATAAGTCATTGCCATTATTTTAATGAAACAAAGGTGGCATCCTGTGTGTTACATGAACGATAAACAGAGGAGATTATCAGACAAAAACTCATGAAGGGTTGTTGAAGTCAGCACTGCCTTGACAGGTAGAGAGGTGGAACTTGTCTGAGGTTGGAGGAGAAAGAAAGAAATGAATATCTAGGGCTGCTGAGGGGAAGAAGTAATGATTTCATATTTTTATTATAGTATAGTTAATCTTAAATAAGTACAAAAGTAGAGAGATTGACTAGGAAGATGGACCCAGCTTCAGCCTGACCATCTGTTGTCTGATCTCCACCCATTCTTGCCTCCTACCCAGTAAATTTTCTAACAAATACAAGACAATGTTATTTCCTCTTTAAATATTTGTTATCTATTTTATATTTATACTAGTATTTTTAAAAACCTAGTCATAGTGCCATAGCCACACACCCTAAATGTCCTTAATATCATTAAATATTCAACTGGTATTTACAGTTCTGATTCTCAGATTGTCCCATTATCATGTTTTTAAAGTTAGTTTGAGTGAAGTTTCTTTACCCCTTCCTTTCCCTTCTCTTCTCCATTTCTTTGCCTTTCTGTCTTTCTGATGTTTTGAAGCCAAGTTACTTGTCTTTTAAACTTTCCCACAGTCGATTTTGCTGACTGCATTCCTGTGGTATTTTTTAACATGTTCTGCTCATATTCACTATAAACTGGCACTTAGATCAAGAGCTTTGATCAGGCTCAAATAAGATTCTTCATGATGGCGATATCTTCTTCCATAACTGTTTATAGTCATTGTCTGGCTCCTATAATTCTTTAGGGATTGCAAAAAATGGTATTGTAATTCTATCATTTTTCTCAGCTTATTAGCTGGCACATTTCCATACAGACTTTCCAAACTTCCTTTCATTAATTATTTTGTTACCTTAAGAAACTGTTTATATAAAAAAGACAAAACATCTTGGTTCTTTCTCTTTTCAAAATATTTCTCTTTTTGAAAGAATGAATGATTTGCTGATACCTTTCCAAGATCAGTGTGTTTTTGATTTACTGTTTTGTTTGGCCTTGCTTTGCCCTTTTTTGCATTTTAGCCAGTGAGAGAGTCATCAGCTTGCCTTGACTCCATTTGATAAGACCCTAATAGTACCGAATAGCTCCCTTTCTCTTGGGTGTCCCAGATTCAGCTAATGTTGTTTGCCCCCAGGCCTAGAATCAGCCTTTTCTATAGTGCAAACACAATTTGAGCATGAAGGGTACACATTAGTGCTTTGTTGATCATTGTTTCTAACTTTTTCAGTGCAGAGGTGATGTGCATGTTTTTTTAAAGGGCAAACAGACCACAAGATTATATTGATAGTTTCAGTTCAAATTTTAAGTTACGGAATTTTGACCTTACTTTTGCTAATTTTAGTCTCCTGTCTACATGCTGAAAATTGTGGCCAGAGAATTGGTCATCTGTTGTAGGTCCCACTGCACACACTGCAGCAAAACCAAGCTCAGTTTTACCTACCATTCCCTGCAGGTCCTCTTCCCCAAGCTTCTACTTGACAAACATGTTTTCTAAACTTCTGCTTTAAAAACTGTAACACTAAGGGAAATTGTATAGTTTGATCAATCTTGCATGTCTGTGTAGCCTGAGCAATTACTTTGAGGATAACAATGTGCACTACAACATGGTTAAATTCTTGTCATGTTTTGAAGTCCTGTGTTGTCATTGTTTCGTTGTTGTCATCATTTTGCTTTTTTTAAATTGTTTGCTTCTTCCTTTTTCTTTTTTTTTCTCTTTAAAACAAAAATAAATAAAAACTGTGACAATTTTCTTGCTGCGTACAGCAGTAATACATGACCAATATATAAACTCAAATCCAGAAAAGCAACGTAATATAAAGAGACAGACCATCTAAGTTCACTTCGTCATATATAACTATTTTCCATTTGTAAACATTCCTTTGATATCTTACCTCTTTTTAACCACCAGAGGCATTATTGTCACCATAATAATCTTCATGAGTATTATTATAAATGGGAAAATTTCCTTAAAATTATGGTTTTAGAATTTGCACATAGAAAAGACAATATTGTTTTTACAACTTCATTGAGCTATATTTCACACATCATAAAATTAGCCCATTTAAAGTGTGAAATTCAATGGTTTTTAGTACATTTAAAGAGTTGTCCAAACATCCCTATAGTCTCCTTTGAGAATATTTTTATCACCCTAAAAAGGAACATCATTCATTAGCAGCCACTCCCCATTCCTAGTCTCCTAATTTCCTGAAAGCCTCAGAGTACTACACATCTACTTTGTTTTGTGAATTTGCCAGTTCGGAGCATTTCACATAATGGAATCATACTTATGTGGTCATTTGTGACTGGCTTCCTGCACTTAATATTTCAAGGCTCTGTTGTAGCAGGTAGCAGCGCTGCTGCTTGCCTGTCTGCCTCCCGCCTCACCCTCTCCTCCATTACCCCTCCCGCCTTCCCTCATTTCCTTCCTTTCTTCCTTTCTTTCTACTTTCCTTTTCTGCCAAAGAGTCTATCTATGGATGTACCATATTTTACTTATCCATTCTTCAGTTGATAAATGTTTAGGTGATTCCCACTTTTTGGCTGTAACAAATAATGCGACTATCAACATTAAGGTGGTTGCAACATTTTCCGACCCCACCAGCATTGTGTGAGGACTCCAGTTTCTTTGCATGCTGGCAGAGTTCTTCTGAAAGAAGGTCTGCAATGATCTATGGTGTGGTGGATCAGATGGCTGCTCATGGTCTATTCATTCTGCATGTGCAAACTACAAATATTTTGTCTTCCAAGTTTATGATAAAGTCTTGAAAAACTGTTTTTGAATCCTGTTCTCTTTGGAGAAAAAAACAATAGGTACACAGATTAATGTTCACCACCAATGGACCCAGATGACTGATTTTTTTCAGCATTCACAAGGTTCCAAAATGTAGGAGGGGGTTGTTGTTCGTTTGGTTTTTTGTTTGTTTAAATTCTGACACAGGAAAAGAACTTGTATTCAGCCATAAAGTTCTGTACTATTGCTGCCATAGTAAAATCTGTGTCATTTAAAATATATTATCTTTGTGGGTCTTCTTCTTCTTCTTCTTCTTCTTCTTCTTCTTCTTCTTCTTCTTCTTCTTCTTCTTCTTCTTCTTCTTCTTCTGCTGTTGCTGCTGCTGCTGCTGCTGCTGCTGCTGCTGCTGCTCCTTCTCCTCTTCTTCCTCCTCCTCCTCCTCCCCCTTCTTCTTCTTCTTTAATGGAAGTATTCTTTAGTGGAGGAATATGCACACAAAATTTTACACTTAGTTACACTCAAGAAAGTAATAGATAAATCTACAAGAAGAAACACTTCTAAAAATGGGTTAAAAGTAAGATTAAAGCATGAGAATTGGATCACGATTAAATAAGGCAGCAAATGAGATAATTTAAATTATTAAAATAATCTGTAATTATGTCTGTATCGTTACATCTTTTAAACATTGCTCAACTTATTTGCCCTTCTGATAAGGTATTTTATTTTAATGTTTTTAAATATAGTTAAATAGCGTTAATTACACATATGATATTTCTTACCATGTGCCATATTCAAGACATTATTCTTTTTTGTCTTGCTGTAAAGACACATGAGATTCCATCAAAGACCACTAAGGGCAAATATCACAGGGATCAGGGGTTGGGTGGAAATGTATTAAAGCAGATGGGCAGAGACTTTTTCCATGCATGTTTCTGAACACACCAATACTTTTTTTCATCATGAATCCATAGCTCTCCATTTTACTATGAAGTATTACTTTTATTTGCTAATCGCTGTGGAGTGAGTCTTCCCTAGGAATCTTTTCAGAGTTAATTACTACTGTGGCAGTATCAAGAGGTGGAAGCTGTAAAGGGTGCTCAGACCTTTATCAAGGGAATGGCTGACTTATAAAAGTTGGTTTAGCTTCCTGGACTCACTCTTACTCCTCTCCTCTTGAAATCCCCCCCTTCCTCCCTCACCATGCGATGCTCTTGCAGCGTGTAGCTCCCATCAGATGTCAGTGGCATGCTCTTGGACTTCCTGGCCCCTGGAACTGAGAAATCAAACTCTGTTTATAGGATACCCCATCTCATGTATTCTTCAGATGGTCTAACACAATGTTTATAATGATTTTTTGAACAAGAAGAGTTGTGGGTTACTGAATAATCCTGAATGCTGAGACATCATATTCATTATATTTTTAAAAATAAATTTGCTTGAAATTTAAATGAAGATTTTTAGGGATATCATTTAAACATTCCTCATATGTGTTAACACATACACTTTAATACTGATAATGAACACTGTAACAAAATGTACATATTAATCATCTCACAGGGCTGGGATGTAGCTCAGCAGTAGAGTGCCAGCTCTCAGAAGAATTGTAACACAGCTTGTCTCTAAAATTAAGCAATTGAAAGCAATATCCCGACAAAATATAGCACCCAATGTCTGTGGAATCCCCTAGAGCAAGTATGGTGAACCTTTTAGAAACTAAGTGCCCAAACTGTGATGGAAAAACCCATGTATTTATGGCAAAGCACCAACACTGCAGTTAAACCTGAATGCTTGGATGCTGGGCAATTTTGTCCCACCTTCCAACAGAGAGGGCTCTGCGTTCCCACTCTCCTAGAGTGTACTTAATTGTCAACATTTTCCCCTGGACTCTGAGTTTACCAGCTAAGAGCTAGGAGCTCAGGACCAAAATGTAGTATGTGTGTAGATAGATAAGTAAATCAGATAGATGGTATTGATAGATGACACAGATAGATAGACAGACAGATATATACATAGATATAGATGAGTTTTAAATGCTACTGATATGTTCATTCAGAAACTCTAAAGTTTTAAATTAATATTACCAAATCCAAATCTTTTGTCTTCTCTAAGCTTATAGAGAAACTAATCATTTGATTAAGAAAATAATTCCATTCATATATAACATATCATATCAAAATAAGGTGTGATCTTGGAGCAGCAATGTATCACTATATTGTGTTAAATAATTGTTGATCAAGATGAAATTGACATTCAAACCTAGTTTCCTTTCTGTAAGTAAGATAAAATCATGTTAAATTTCAAGTGTGTATTTGTAATGTTTATAGTGATCAAAGTGCTTAAAGTTATGCAGTGATTTTATTTTCTGTCTTCATGTATGTGTCTTTTGTGTTAATGATTAAAGAGTCGAGCAACATTTGACATTGATGATTATTTCCTACTTAAATGTAATATTCTTTTTCCTCCTTATTTCAGTTCCTCTTTAATCATATATATATATATATATATATATATATATATTTTATCAAAAAATCACAAAATAATTCAATTTGGATATGCAGTGTGAAGCATGAAACATATTTCTTTCCTTTCCAAACAATTTTCTCATAAGTATATTTAGCAAAACACTTCTTTTTTTGTTTTTTTTTTTTTTTTTGTTGTTGTTGTTGTTTTCGGGTTTTTTTTTTTTTTTTTTTTTTTTTTTTTTTTTTTTTGGTATTGGCGACAAAACTCACGACCTAATGCTTGCCAGGCAGGCACTTATGCCACTGAGCTAAATCCGCAGCCTCCTAAACATTTCTTTTTGATAAGTACCAAACAATACTGATCAGTTAAACTTACTTCCTCATTGCAATTTCCAACTTACATCTTGACAATTCACACTCAAGAGATCAGTGGTATTTAGCCATATTTTGTGTGTATTTTAATAACATAATCAATGTATTCATATTGAAAAATATCCAAAAACCATAAGAATATCCAGCACAACTTTTAAGTTCTCACTCTGCAGAAAATCTTGATCTCTTTATTATTAGTAGCGATGAAATATTATTACTTGAACTTTACTCAGATTCAAATTATTATCTAGTTAGACTTGCCCAACCTGAGAGGGACATTCGTGTGAGAATCTCAATTTTTCTTAACAAGTATCCATAAACTTTTGTATTGCTAGAAAGAAGCATGGCAAAAATAATGTGTTATAAAGCTTGACAGATGCATCCAATATTACTATTCATTTTTAATAAAATGTGGATTTTATTGTATGGCATTTTTATAATTACCTCAGTAGAATATGCCCTGTTATTTGATAAAAATGAATTTTCTCTCTTGTTCACTTACTGTAACAGTTAACTGCCATCACAACCAAATGAAAATAGAGTATGGGATTTGAAGTAATAAAATGTGGATAAGTTCCAGCTTTAGCACTTACTAGCTATGAGGTCTCAAGTAAATTATGTGTATTATTCACCTCCCATGTCCCTTAGTGAAATAAGAAATAACTGTATCACTCAGATTGACTCAGGGGAAGCCTTAAGTTGCAGTAATTGTCCAAGGATTTATGATCTGAAGTTGGATATTTTGGGCACTGTGTCATTTGGGATAGGCTAGGTGTTGCTAGGCCTCAGTATAATACATGTTTATTTCTTGCTCACAGTACTTGATCAAGAGTCGTCAGAGGGCTCTTCTCATTTCCTGTTCACTCATGGAAGTGGGAGACAAGCTCCATCTCTGCAAAGTGTTTCTTCAAGTCCCCTTGGCATGGGGAAGATTTTCCAGCAAAATTACTGGTCCTTAAAGCAGCCAGACGCATGTACACATTTCATTGGTCAGAGCAAGTAGACTTCCAAGAAACTACAAAAGCTGTTCCTTCAGGGTCCCAAAGGCAGAGAGCTGGAAATTAGTGCCTGGCGTTAATGACAACCGCAGAAATGCCAGCAAACATTAAAAATAATGTGAAGCTTTTCTAGGGAAGGATGAAAAGTCATCCTTTGTTATTTTCTTTGGTCCAAGACAGAAAAAAAACAAGTCTAGGGAACACAAACAGGGGTTTGGTGTTCAGGCATGAAAAAGAGTACAGCTTAAAGACTTCAATAAGTGAGAGATGAAAGAAGTGTGAGAAATGGGACAATGTCACAGGGAATGAGCTGGGACTCCATGTGCCTTAGCGATCCTCAGCACACTCAGGCCAGCTGAATTAGCCTATGTGATATCCCAGTCACCTCTGCACCTGGGGTGTAGGTGTCTGCCCCACCAGGTGATCACAGGGCCTCTAAGGCTCCACCATTTTGCTGAGATCCTGGGGTTTGCTAGTGCTGCTGGTGTCTGGCCCAAGGATGCAACTTCTGCCTTTCATAACCCCCGGTGCTCCTTCGTCACAGAAGATCACTTAGCCATCAAGGTTTGGCAGCACTATGGCCACCAGGCCTCACAAACCACTAAATCAGAAACAACGAAGTGTTCCTTCTCCTGGGAACCTCCAAAGAGCGTCTTGTTTTCTTGGAGCTTGAAAGTAAAGGGACCTCCTTTAAGATTTGAAAGAAGAGATGTCAGCCCCAGTTTTTCCTTAAACTTTACCTTGGCTTAATTGTAGAATTGTACCAGATGCTGGGAGTCTTATATCTGTATGTTTAGAATTTCTCTACAGGGTATTATTCCAAAATATCACAAACTGATGTTCCAGTGGTGGGGATGTGTGAGAGAGGAGGAGGCTTTTGAAGGAAAGAGAAATATAGAAGAAACAAAGCTTCAAGAAGAAATGAGGAATGGGTTTATCACATTTGTGACCGAAAAGTTAGTGATGTTGTATTTGAAACAGATTTTTCTTTAGTTAGTGCTCAAAGAAAAGAGTGAGATAAAATTAAGTGGCATAAGTTTTAAGTTGTAAATCAGAGAATAGAAGCAATTCCGTGCAAATTTTGAACACCCAACTAGCAGAAAAAGAGAGCAACAGGAAGAACAAGGTAGGACAGTTAAGTATGGTTGCCATGGCAACCTTATGCTGATTGAAATTATTGAGGAACTGTGATTTATACCCATCTCCACATTTTCCTTTTTTAATCTGGTTCCTGAATGAATGCACCATGAAACTAGAGGTAGCTGTCTCCTAGCAAGGAGGACAGAAGTCACTCGTACCCTTAGGTAAATGGGATACAAAGGTAGATTCAAGTTAACCAGGGAGAAGAACATGAGCCAAAATCATCAAAATTCCAAGCTTCCTTCCAGGCCATGTTCATGTTTGCCACCGCTCTGAGATGACAGAACCAAAGTATAAACCTGGCAGCCAGCTTGGCCTGAGAAGCAGATTGCAAACCGTGCATTGGTTTTCTGAAAGCCTACAATGGTAATGGGATACACTTCTCAAACTTGCATTTCTGAGCCTTGGCTTTCTGAGCTTATAGGACAGAATATAAATACCTGCCTTGAAAGGTTGCTGTGAGGGCTGGAGACAGTAAATTCTCTCCAGCTCCTGCAATTAGTTGTCTCTGCAACACTTTGTAAGAGGGAGAATACAGGTGGCAGGGATTCGGAACAGTGGCAGGTTCTCAGCTGATATTGTTTCTACTAAATAAAACTTAAGGATACAAGAACTTTTCACTATTTTTATTCCAATAACAAAATGATATATAAAATACTGAATAAATGATCATTAATGATTAATATCATTAGTAAAAACTAGCACTACATAATTAATTTCTACTTTTCTTTCATCATGCATTAATATTGGTACTGATAAGCAGAAAAAGAAGAGACAGCAAGAAATTATACTTGGGGAAAAATGAGTTTTCTGCTCAACTTACCAAATTCAGAATCATCAAAGCAGAGATCCACACTGGCCATGTATATCCTTCTGTTGTCAAATAAAATGTTCCAGGTTTTACCTCTTGTAAAGGAAATACATAGCACACACTTTTTGGCTTTTCTTTAGTTTGTTTCATTACATTTTTATCATGTAGAGAGTGTTTAAGAGATTACATCAGTCTGATCACTCCTGACTAGAGATGTGCTAGATTACATCTTTTGTTTAAAAATCGTTTCCTTCAAAAGCTTAATTTTCATGAAAAGTGTTTCCTTTGCTATATAATCTAAATGGATGGCTAGAAGATGTAAATGTTGTTTGATGCTTCAGCATTCTGACATCTTAATCCAGAGTTTCTCGACCTGGGGATCCCTGGATCTATTGATGTAATGCAAGTCTGTGAACCAACTGAATTGTATGGAAAAACTATGCATGTAGCAAAATGCGTGCCATGTCCTTGATGTTCTTCTGCTTCTCAAGTTTGACAGTGACTCAGCAAGGTGAAGAATTAACTACAATCTGGGTCCCTTGAGCCTGTCTGTTTTGTGTTTATTGCTGTTTGATGAGAGTGAGAAAGAGGGTTGAGATT